GGTGTAACCATTCGTACATAGCTATCTAGGTGGATCCACTAAGCTAGAGTTCTATGTGCGCACATAGTTAAGGGTCAAGGGAATTGCTTCTAGAAACCCTAACTTACTAAACAGGGGGGTTTCCATCTCATGAGACAACACATACCATGGGTAATCCGGACTTGCTAAACGTGAGGAAACCCATATGGGGAGTCGGACTTACTAAACGTGAGACCCTCGTCTCATTTACATGCCCTTTCGGTGCTAAGCATCTATTCCCTTTTGTAATCATCTTTAGCCATCACATAAGTTCACATTAGCCTTTACTAGACTCTTATGTAGACATCTTACCATGATAACTCATATGTGTTCATAAGTGAGTAACAATCCTTTCACTTAGAAACACTTAACAAGTGAGTAAACCTTTCACTTTACATTACACTATAATCATGAGAACTACCTTTCAATCATATAGCAATCATACCATAACATACATACATACTTCATAGCTAATTCAAGTGTAGAGGGTTAAGGATGAGGATACTAGGTCATCAACACCACAACAACACATTAGGTATAGCATCATTACATTCTAAGTAATTCACCTTTCATACTTGAGTTCAAATAAGAACTAACCTTCATACCTTGTTTCCCTTCATGGGACATTCATACTTCAATTAACAAACGATTCATAACCAATACATAATACAAGGTAATTCATGAAGTAATAACATAATCAACATCAATATAAGCAATTGACAGATTCCCTTCATAGCCTTAAAGGCTTCATTCAAAGACTCAACCTTAATTTCATAGAAATTATACATAACCTAGGGTAGACTTATCATAATAACATGAATTACATAACATCACATTCAATTCATAGCCTTCAATTAGTATCCAACACAAACTAGGGTTAGAATTAGGGAGAGAAGGAGTGGGTCTCATGGGGAATTCTTAAAGAAACCACCAATACAACATATATTCATCCATAATTGTTCATATAACATTAACCAAAGTCAGTTTATAACATCAATTTCACTTTATAAAGAAGACCCACGTTTTTGGATTTAAACCTAGAAATTGGAGATTTGAAATTCATCTTGAAGGGGCCTCTTGGGGAAAGGAATCCCATGAGTGATAAACAACCATACGTTATTGATGAATTAACCACGAAAATTTGATTTGAAACCTTGGAGATTTGGTCTTTTTCTTGAAGCTCCAATCTTCTTCAATGGAGTTCTTGAGAAGAGAGAGAGAGTAGAGAGAAGGAGGAACCTTAGGTTTTGATCTTTGGGGTTGTGTTTGAGTGATAAAAATGTGGTAAATTGACTTAAAAATCATTATATACACGTCCCCTAAAGTACCCTAAATACCCCTCACTTAGTTGAGCTCTTTAATGAAGTAAAAATCGATTTCTGAATTTCTGCATTTTCGTCGCGAAACAAGTCCGCGACGCGGAAGCTGTTCCCTGAAGATAATTAGAATTAAATTTTGAGACAGTAGAGTCCGCGACATGACCGCGTCGTAAACTAAATTTTTTCTCCTTGGGGGAGCTAGTCCGCGACACGAATGCATTCCCTCCAAGTGCAATTTGCAAGCTGCCTTGGCAGCTTGCTTGGCCAAGGTTGGGGTCCTCCTCGGGGCCCCTTAGGATGGCCTCGGGGTGTCGTATTCAAACATTTTGCCCCTATAAACATATATTTACCTAATTTAAACCTTTTTACACTATTATACCATCATACGACACTCCCAAACTTGTCCAAAACCTAAGGATACACTAGAACATATTTTTCTCTAGTTTTCGGACGTCGTGTTTGCTTCTGACGTTTAGACATTTACTCTTCCAAACCAAGTCAATTACATTACTTTAGGTTTAGAAACATCATTTTAACTATTTTTAAGTCATTATTCATAAGGTGAGAATCTAACTTAAGTCATAGAATTTCTGAGGTGTTACACTTCAATGTACATGTATTATGCTAATTCATGCATTGTGCTAAGCAATCCCATATGGAGGCTGCATTAAGAGTAGTGAGATACATAAAAGTGGCTCCTAGCTGTCATGACACAGGGTTACCCCTAGATGTAACATGGCGTATAGGACCCCGAGAGACCCTATACAAGACACTTAGCATTCATAACTTAAGAAATAGAACAAAAGAAGTAAACTAACATTTCAAGTCCAATAGTTTTATAAAAGAAAAGCGGAAGACTAAAACACTTGTCTCAATAGCCATCTAATACAATAGAATGAAATTGGGTCTAGCCCATACATTATGTCCAAAACTAGAATAGGAAAGAAAAATAAAACAATAGAATCTGTCCTCGAAGCATGATGACTCACCAAAGCTCGGGAATCTCGAAATTAACCGCTAGCCACGAAACTTAGAAACCTGATTGTCGGACCCTACATTTGGGAAACTGTAGGCAAGAGTATGTGTTAGTACAAAACAATGTACAAAGTATCATAGCTATGTATAAAACATTTAAATCATGCTAAAAGAGGACATTTCATGACATGCAATTGACCAAGCTAAAACAAGATATAAAAGGGTTAGAAAACACAAGTCATAAAATATGGTCAATGCAAGCTAACATCATTTGAAACCTTTGAACACATATGAGATACTTCTTGAAGTAACTTTAGTTCATTATTAATATGGGAGGTAGACTTAACCGACTTAGAGGCCATGTGAGCTATAACATGATCCCTCGATGTCTTCCACACCGAAAAGGGTTGTCCTACTTGCCAAGTTAAGGACCATGAACTTTTAGCTTAGGTGGATCCACTAGTTAATGTCTAAATACACAATCATCCTATGGGGGCACATAGGTAATGTATAAGGATATTGCTTTTAGAAACCCGACCTCTACTAACGGGAGAGCTTCGATCTCAATATCCTCTCGGTGCTAAGAATAAATCCCACGGAATAGTCATTTCTTACTTGTTCTTATTATCCATGAAAGGGCATGTCATCTTATCAATCCAAGCTAAGTCATTATCCATGGAAAGATATTATTCAATAACCAATCCAAGCTAGGTTTCATTAGGATAACTCTTAATCTTTGATTCAATTAGGTGAGAAGACCTTTCAACCTTAGAATCCTTACTATGTGAGAAACCTTTCACAATCATGCTTTTATGTGTATATGAGAAATCCTTTCACCAACACAACAACAACATCATCATTGATACTTTACTCTCAAAGCATTCTTAAAACAATTGCATAGATTTCCTAAGAACATGCATAATTCCATAATTTACCTTTCAAGGCTCAAAACCCACTTTCAATCATCAACATTTAGGAAACATGGGTTAGAGATATATTTCATCATAAAGTCACGCAATTCTATCAAAACATGCTTAATTTCATGAAACTCTTCCTTCATAATCAAAATCCCACATCATATACTCATAACTTGGATAACATGGGGATTACATGGGTTCATAGGGAAATCATCATAAAATTATAGTATTTCATCAACTCATGCATAAGAGATCATAATCCAATCGTTTAAATCAATAATCAAGAGAACCCATGACAATTGAAGAAAACCCTAACTAAATTTGGGAATTTCTAACTTTGAAAATAGAGGAATTTGGGAACTCCATGAATGGAAGGAATCCATGGAGGAAAACTATCATACCTTGAAGCTAATTGCTAATCTTCAATGGAGGAATTGAAACTTGACGTGAAACCCTAGGTTGAATCCTTCTTCTTCAAGCTTTCTAGAGAGAAATATGTGACAGTTCTTCTTTTTGGTGAATTTGGAGAGAATAAAGTAAATGACCTAATTTAGGGGTTGGAATCACTTATATAGGGGAATTAGTGAAGGGTAAAACGACGTAGTATAGAGAAAAAATAATTAGGAAAAAACTCAACTTCCCCTAAACTTAACTGCCAAACCACCACTTATGGCGACAACCGACGGACCGTGGACAAGACGACGGGCCGTCCTGCACGACCGTCGTTCGTGGTCAAAAACTTGTTTTTAGGGCCCTTGACCTATGGACACCTGACCACGGACCGTGGTCTGACCGATGGCCTATTGGTCAGGCTGTAGTTCATGGCCTCTGAGGATCCTGGGGGTGACATGTCCACGGACCACCCTACGGTCCGTGGTTCTAGCCATGGATCGTGATTGGCTTCCGTGGCTGGCACCTGAAAATTCTTGAAATAAGTTAGCTTACCCTTTTTCGGGTCCAGGGTTTTACAATGGCTCAGGACTATTAATGTCAGCTAAACAAACTATACAACTCAATGTCTATTTTGACTCTGATTGGGGAGCATGTGTAGAAACTAGGAGGTCAGCCACAAGATATTTAGTTAAGTTTGGTGTTGCTTTAGTGTCTTGGAAATCTAAGAAGAAAGAAACAGTGTCAAGAAGTGCAACTGAGGCAAAGTTCAGAAGCATGGCTACTTGTGCAACTGAGATAACTTAGTTATTAGGCTTATACAAAGAGCTGGGAGTTAGTGTTAATCTTCATGTGCATATGAAGTGTGAAAGTAAGGCAGCCATACAAATAGCTGCTAATCTAATATTTCATCAGAGAACTAAACACATAGACATTGATTGCCACTTTGTAAGAGAGAATTTGTCAAGGATTCCTGAAAACTAAACACATCAACTAGTTGATTTACTGACTGAAGGTCTGGGAAAGGCACAACATAACTTTCTGATGAGCAGACTTGGAATGACAAATGTGTTTCAACCATAAGCCTGAGGAGGAGTGTTAACTAATATAAATGGTTAAGCAAGCTATATGGTTGAGTTAACTAATTATATATAGTTAGTTAGAAATATGTGTAGTTGGCATTACTTAGTTACTGAGTCATATTGAGTAGTATAAATACATAATATGTATAGATTCAATGTAACAAGTATGACAATTCAATCAATCTGATCCTCTCTTTTTCCTCTCTTCTCTTACTATGAAGTTTAAGCTCCACCTATAGAGCTATCACTATCAACTTTCGTCAGCAGCAACAGGTACCAAGTAATTTTGTCCACCAAGATTAGGACAGATGAGAAGAATCACCTAGTCTATTTATATCCATTGGGGTAGTAGACAAGTATTTTATACCCAATAAATCACCAATTTTGCTGATAACCTGGCAAAAACAACAACTTGTCAGTAACTAGTCAACATCTACATTGCTTTTCTTTCTCATAAGCTATTACTACATTGCCCAATGAGATAATATTCTCACAAGAATAAATAATTGAGACACCAATATACATTTGCCCCTATTATGATTATTGTATGAGTTGGAAATACGCAAACATAACATAAAGCAAGCCATCTCAGCATTTCAGTATTCATTTATTTTTTTCTCACAGAGATAATAGATGATCAGTTCGTAATTTTTCACAATGTGGTTTCTCAAAACACCATCCACCACCCTAGGATAAATTTGGGAAAGGTGACAAATATATCAAGTCTAGCAGTTAAGTTTATGGGTGTATTAAATATTGTTTGGCCATGGATATTTTTCACCTATTTCTAGAATATTATTTCAAAAAAGTTTTTGGACATTGAACTGTTATAATTCTTCAAAATTCAATAACTGTTTTCACGTCAAATCACTCATAAAAATTCAAAAACAACATCAATTTGTATGCATGACCAAATGGCTAAAACAATCCAATTTTCAACTTTAACTTTTCTAAATTTCACAATTTTTATGTTCAAACACCCACATAGATGAAAAAAATGTATGCGTGAAATATCTTTCTACAGAGAAACTAAAGAGTGACCAACTCATCCTAATATCACTGTCCAAAAGTTCAAATAAATCTAGAGGCAGTTCAAAGCCAGATTTTGTGGGTTCAATTGCACTCATTCAGTCAATAAGATGACAATTATTATCAACCACTAACATTAATGTCAAATTCACTTATGAATTCAACTCATATTGCTAACATCCTGATTTCTCTCAGAATCTGAATTAAGTAAGAAGTAAGTCATTCTATTAGCGCTTCTAACTTGTCAGTCTGTGATGCATTAAGTTGAGAGTGAAAGAAGAAAATGGAGTAGCAAAAAATTCGAGTGAAAGCCATGTGAATGAATTTGAAGTTCATAACGAGGGTATAGCGCTTAAGAGAAGTAAATGAAATTGAAGAGCAAGCTCTAACCTTCAATGCTTTGATGAGATCTTCCTTTGAGTGGGCAGCAGAAATACATATGCGTGCTCTGGCCAAAAGTAAAGGGGTGGCTGGAAAAGCAACTACCACAACGGCTACCTAAAGTAATAGACCATGCAATGAGTATTAAGACATAGATACAAGTGGGATCATTTTCTTTTCACAAATAACTATCTAGATAGATAAGGATAAAGAGAAGAAACTGTACATTCTGTTTCAGACACTCTCGTGAAAAAGCCGGTAATTTTGCAATATTATAGAGCATTATGGGCATCACAGGTGAATCATAGTCTCCCAAAACATCAAACCCCATCTTCTGCAGTTCAGACCGGAAGAAGTTGCTATTTTCACGTAGGTGTGCTATTTTTTGAGCTCCTATAACAATGAATTCAATAATGGTTTACGAGTAGTCAGAATCTGAAAACCACATACAATTAATTATAAGAAGGAATTTTGACCTCTTTTTGAACCATCTTCACCAAGCAAAACCTTAATAGCAGAAATGATTTGTTGAGCAGCTGGAGGTGATATGGATATTGCATATACATGCGCTGGACAAGTGTACTTCAAATATTCAATTAGTTCCTGAAATTGTCATCTTAATGTTACAACCATATATTACAAATTACACTATCAAATTTACCAAACGAAAATCTCAAAAATTGAAGGTAAATTACTATAGAAGTAGTAAATAAGTTTCCACCTTTTAATGATTTATTGTCAGTTTGGAACATGATATTGTTCTAAGTCCATTATGATCTTTTACCGGAATGATAAGTAGATATGAAGGTGTGGAGGACACAAACTAGGGTAGAACGTCATAGTTCTATGGTTGTAGTTCGATGGTAATATTATTTGGTTGCGTTATTGTTCTGCTACTATATATGTTGTTTAGTTTTTCTTGTACTTTCATTACGTCTTTTTAGTCTATTTTTGACTTGAGCCTCTAAGGTAGAGGTAAGGTCTACTAAGTACACTCTACCTTCTACAAACCCCACTTTGTGTGAATACACTAGATATGTTGTTGTTGCTTAAATTGGGTAATTAAGAGAAGAATGAATAGATGATAATATAAAATAGTATAGCCATGATAAAATCTGTTGATACTCCAAAATAGCACAACTAGGTTACACGTTCAATTTCATGATGTACGTAATTCAAGTAGAAAATCATTGATTAAATAAATCATTATATTTTTTTCTTGAATCATTTGCATCAAACTACTAATGATAAAGCTAGTTCAGTAGCATTGCCATAAGAATGATGAAGGAAACCTACCTTGGATCCTGCAATATAACCCCCACAGGATCCAAATGACTTTGTGAAAGTTCCCATCATAATATCCACATTTGCAGTATCAATTCCCAAGAGCTCACATACCCCTTTTCCTGTTTTACCAACTGCTCCAATGCTGTGAGCCTCGTCCACATAAACATATGCCTGCATCAAGAAGATCAAACACACAAAGACTCATGAGAAATACGTTATAACGAATCCCAAAATGTATATAATAGAAATATAGTCTTTCTTTCTGATAATGAAACAGAGTTTGTCCCAGAAATGAAAGATGGTTAGCATATTAAGAAGTTGAAGTTGTTCTTCATGTTCTTAGAAAAATCATAAAGTTAGTAATTAAGATGAAAATAGTTTCAAAGAAGTACCTTGTACTTCTTGCATATGGCAACAATCTCTGAAAGTTTGCAAAGCTCCCCTTCCATGCTATATATGCCTTCCACCACAACAATTATCTTAGTCCACCGTCTATGATTTTGGGGCTGGCCCTCAGCAATATTCTCTCGTAAAACTCTCTCCAAATGCGATGGTTCTAAAGAAAGAAGGGAATGAGAAACTATATCTTGTTTTCCAAATCATATTTGTACTAACAAGGAGAAGGGATACATTATTAAAAACTTACTATTATGTTGAAAAACACGAATAGTGGCTCCAGATCCCCTAGCTCCATTGACAATAGAGTTGTGATTTAGAGAATCACTAATAATCAAACCTCCCTGCAACGACCCTATTTGAAGCTAAAAATGAAAATGATAAGCTAAACACAATGATACGATAGTAACGCTATGTACCTGTCCTATCAAGACAGGAAGCACAGCTGAGTTTGTTACGTAACCCATGCCAAAAACGATAGCAGCTGGTTTTCCAACAAATTTAGCCACATGCTCTTCTAATTCAGTATGTATTGTTGTGGTTCCTGTTTTAGCAAATAATGACCTTTAAGAAGAAGAAGGCTCTCCTCCCTATTCTAGAAAGATGCACATGAGAAACTTGCCTACCTCCATCAACCCGGGTACTACAAGTGCTTGCGGAAAATATTTTCAAACACTCAATTGTCCGAGGAGAACAATATTCATCAAATGCAGCAAAACCAAGATAATTATATGATCCCAAGTTGAGGCACCTTGACACATTTTTCGTCCGCCTGTATAATTTGAGTTTCTTTTGATTGAGAAAATAAAAAAGTATTTCAATACGTACTGTTACCCCTAAATACATGTCTTTTATAAAAAAATAATTAGGACACATTACATATACTTAAAGTAAATTACAAATTGAAACAAGTTTTCAATACTCACTTTTGTATCTTGTTGTTATCATTGGTCACACGCGTCACCACATCAAACCAAGCATCTGGAGAACTACATATTGGCCGTTCAAAACAGTCCTACAAAAAAACGATATTAATTAATTGACCAAAACTAGAAACTAAACATATTTATTATTAGTGAAAGTATTTTTATGTTTCTCATTGAAATAAATGTATATAGCTCTAGAATATAGAACCCCTCCTAGAACATGGCCACATCAACACACCGGAGTACGAAAACACCACCTCCAAGACCACCAGACCTACCAGAACCACCAGATGAAAACAATAATATGATAGAGTGTTATATTCTATTTTTTATGACTTAACAAACTATGGAATCTGGTAAAGGGATCTGATCCATCGAGTGGTATTGTCCAGAACAAGTCAAGGGAGTGCAATTGTAAAGTTGTCATGCCTGTTGTTGTAGGTGAGCAAGAAAACTCAGGCCTAGAGCTCTCAGCCAATGGAAGTCTACTAGGTTGTATTTGTACATCCTATATTGGACACTTTGACAATAAACAACGTAGTTCTTGCATAACAAGAATATTCAAAGCAAAACCTATTCTATCAGAAAAGAACAAGCTTATATGAACATCAAGGAACCTGATCGAGTGATTTACAGAAAGTCTGGAGTTGTTTGTTGAGAGTTATGCCTTGTGCTAAAACATTGTAAGATCTATGCATATTCTATAAAAGAATATAGATCATTTCAATTGAAATCTATGTAAAGTAAAGCTCATGGCTAGAGTTAGTTGTGGTTTGTGCAGTTGAAGTATATGTTAACTAGAGATAGTTAATACAATGGGTAATAAAGTTATTGTTCTGAGTCTTGTAATAGAGGTGTTACAATGTGTAGGATCAATAGTTTAATCATTTGTGATTACCGGAGGTTGTATTCACATGTTTCTTGAAGTTTTAGTAAAGTTGTTGAGAAATCTTGTGTGACTGGTTCTGATTTTCTTCTCCCTTGAGCAAAAAGATTTCCATGTAAACATCTTTGTTCTTTACGTTCAACTTTACTATTCTTATCACTATTTAAATAGTCAAGGGACCTAGTCTCTTGACTTGAAGTGGATTCATATAAGCCAACAATTTGTGTGAGATCTTGAACTCTCAATACCATTAATACCTAGAGAGGATCCTTCTTAAATGAATGCTCCACCAAATTTGGAAGAAAGACATTCTACCACCAGACCCTCGATTTAATGGCCAGTACTATGGTTGGTGGAAGACTAGGTTACATGATTTTATCATGGTTGAAGATAGCGAACTTTGGTACATCATTTGGGATGGACCTCATGTTCCTATAAATGAAGTAAAGGAAGGATACATAACTTGACTTGTTTCTAAGAATCTGATGGAGTATAACGAGGTTGATAGGAAGAATACTGAAAAAAATTATAAGGCAAATAAACTCCTGGTATGTGGCATAGGACTAGATGAATACAACCGAATGTTTACTTGTGAGTATGCTAAAGAGATCTGGAATGTTTGAACATATCTCATGAAGGAACAAGTCAGGTGAAAGTGTCTAAGGTAGATATGCTTGCCACCCCAATATGAGAAATTCTAGTATGAAGGAAACCATCCAGGAGATGAATACTAGGTTCACCTCGATCACTAATGAGTTAAATTTTTTGGGTGGGACATTTTATCCAAGCAAACAGGTAAGAAAGATTTTCAGAATCCTTTCCGAGTCTGGGAAAGCAAAGTTGATGTCATTACAAAAGCTAGGGATCTAAAGACTCTTACCATAGATGAGTGGATCGAAACTTGAAAATCCACAAGTTAAACAAGAAACAAGATCACTCCTAGAAAGATTAGAAGAAGGAAAAGACCTTGACTCTCAAGGCTTCCCAAGGTGAACTTAGTGAAGAAAATGAAGATATGGCATACTTTGCTCGAAGGTTTCACAAAGTTGTGAGAAAAAAATGATGAATATAAGAAAAATGGAAGCTCCAGCAAACCATAAGATGGAATTGATTTGTGTCACAATTGTGAAAAACTAGGTAATTACATCATATATTTCCCTATGCATGAGATGGAGTACAAAGATTATGTTAAAGCTGGAGGTGATAAAGAAAAATGAATGAACCCGATCCATAACAAATTAAAAAGAAGAGTTGGAACTAACTATGTCATCAAAAGAGCTCTTGTTGCATGGGGAGATATATCAAGCAACTCTGATGAACCTATGCACCAAGATCAAGGATACTTTCATGATGGCAATAAAGGTTGATGAAGATGTTTTTGACTCTTTGTTTACTCTTATGGCCAAATCAATTGATGATGCAGATGAAGAGGTAACCCTTCTTGATATTAAACAAAATCTGAACGTCTACTCCATCAAGAAATTGAAAAGGTTAGCTAGTGTTCTGATTGACTCACTTTGTGAGTTGGCTGCTGAGAAGGATTTTTTTAAATAAAAGTCCAAACATCTTTCAAAATGAGAAAATTGCTCTGACTACTCAGATGTCTGAAATTGAAGAAAGATTTTCTTCTCTAGATGTTGAAAACTTAGATCTCAAGAAGAAGCTGAAGAAAATCCCGAATCTAATTCTTAAGAAAAGAGTGAAGCTAGTAGGTTACAGCTAGAACTTAAGTATAACCTAAAAAAAATTGAGTTGAAGTTGATTATATCTCTAGAGGGGAACTTGGTACGTGTTAAAGAAGAACTGAACAAATCTCATAAATGAACCATCTCCTCTAAAAAGTTAGCAAATCTCACTAGTTAGAATACAACAATGGAAAGATTTTGGGATGTCTAAAGTTAGGTCATCCTTATAATCCTCACAACAAATATGTCTCTGTCTCTGATAATTCGTTGTGCATCCATTGAGGTCGCAAAAGCCATCTTAAGAAAGACTGTGAAGTTTGGAAAAGAACGAAATATTGTTTCAAATTATTCCAAGCAAAAGGAAAATTTGAGAAGGGGACGTAGTATTGGTCCTAAAATAAAAAAAGCTAAGTTGACTTTTTGGACCAAGAAGTCCTCGATTAAGCCTCTGTCTGGATTTTGAGCATTGAGACTTAAATGGGTTCCCAAAGTTAACAAGTGATTTGTTTTGTAGGTAAGAGTAGGAAGTAGCGGTCAATGTTGGTTCATGGATAGTGGATGCTCTAGACATATGACTGGGAAGACTGAAAGCTTCCTATCACTCAAGGCACTTCAGGGTGGAGGTGTCTCATATAACAATGGAAATAAGGGCTATATTCTTGGCGTTGAAAGAATTGGAAAATCTCTGGAACTTTCAATTGGAGACATATATTATGTGAGTGGACCAAGGTACAATCTAATCAATGTATCCCAAATACACGACAAAGGAAATGAAGTCAACTTCCTGTCAGAATGTTATATTGTCACAAATTTGGTTTCTTAGATTGTAATTCTGATTGCTAAAAGATGTAAAAATATGTATGTGACTGACTTGGACACTGCTTGTGGAGATGACCTTACCTGCCTCAGTGCTCAGAGTGAAAATTCTAATCATTGGCATAGAAGATTTGGTCATATTAATGAATCTCTTCTAAATAAACTTGTCTCAAAAGACCTGGTTTGTGGATTGTCAAAAATCAAATCTGTAGATGACAAAGTTTGTGATACCTGTGTTATAGGGAAGCAGACTAAATCCTCATTTAAACAGAAGAAGTAGGTAAGCACTACAAGACTGCTTGAATTACTTCACATGGTTTGTCGATATGACCTCCATTGGATCCCAAGGCAAGAAAATGCATCTTTGTTTGATATGACGAAAGGAACATTGGTTGGAAGTGCATGGATTCAAAAACTCATCGCTTTGTTGTTTCTACAGATGTTGTATTTGATGAAATCTCCTTGTTGTTGGAGTTGCATCAAAAGGAGAGGGTTCTAAAATATTGAAACCTGGAGTTTCAAACTTGCTCATAACAAGTGATTCTCTATATAAAACATTTGATGAGGAGCCTAAGCGAGAGGGCAGCCCGAAAACTCAACAAGAAAATGATGCATTAGTTTCACAAAGACCAAACATAACTATTGTTAAGCCATCCCGCTTCAAAGATGAAAACTTTGTTAGTACATATTCTTATTTCTTTGCAGGCCCGATTGACGATGAAAGGCCTTCAACTTTTGAAGAAGCTAAAGGAGTCAAAGAGTGGAAGTTTGCTGTGGATGATGAAATGAGGCTCTAATGAATAATCAAACTTGAAGCCTTGTGCCAAATCCTAGAGATATACAATACGTTTCTTTCAAATGGGTTTACAAAATAATAAAAAAAAGAGCATATGGAAGCATACACAGATTTAAAGCTAGGTTGGTTGCTCGGGGTTTTTCTAAAAAATACTGCAAAGACTACAAAGAAACCTTCCATCCATTGTCTAAGATGATCTCAATTTGAATTGTACTAGCTTGGCAGCCTCATATGGTTGGAAAAAAGGACAACTTGACGTGAATACTGCTTTATTGTATGGAGATCTTGACAAAGATGTTTATATGGATCAACCACCCGGGTATGTTTCTAACTTATATCTTGATTGTGTTCGCAAACTTAAAAAATCACTTTATGTATTAAGAAGGATCTACGAGCAAGGTACGAAAAAATTTATCAATATCTATATTTTTGTGGCTACGCTGCATCATATTCAGATTGTAGCTTATTTGTTAAGAAACAAGGAAATTTCCATTTGGTTGTTCTTTTGTACATGGATGACATGATAATAATAGGAAACAATTATGCTGAAGTTGCAAGGCTTCCAGAAGAGCTTGCCATAAGATTTGATATCAAGAAGTTGGGATAATTACATCATTTTCTTGGCTTAGAGGTAACAAACACGGGTAAAAGGATATTTGTTACCCAAGAAGGGTATGCCAAGAAGCTTGTTGACAAATTTAGGATAAAACAAAGCAAAAAGTATTCTACGTCTCTTGAGACTAGCATGAGATTAACATGTGAAGAAGACTCACTTCTTGTGACTGACTAACAAACATATTATTTTCAATATGTTTGGTAGATTGGATGATAATAATATATATCTTGATATAGAGATTGATGATATGTCTTTTTGAGAAGCTTGTAAGTTTTCATCGTGTCAAATCTTGCAAGTG